TTATTTTTGTCTGCTTGATTTTTTTTTTTTTTTTTTTTTTTTTTGGAAACGTATTATATATTTCTTTCGATTCTCTTGAGACTTAGTCTGGGCCGTTGTGCTCCCGCATAATGGAGCCGTACCCCATGCCTAGAGACGACGTGCAGGCATTCAGCCCACAGCCAGTTCCATCCTTCAATAATAAACAGCGAGGTCAAAAACACCCTCGTCGAGGGAAAAACGGCCCTAACAGGTTTTCCGGACATTCCGATGCCCATCACAACAAACATGGACAGCCTCAGTCGTGCTTCAACTGTGGCTCCTTGCAGCACTGGGCCCAACAGTGCCCAGAGCCTCGTCGTGAATTTCCTGCGTAAGTTTGATTTCACGGCACTTCGCTCTTATTGAAGGCTAATTGATGCACGTTAAGCGGTGCTATGAAGTCAGGTCGCCCCCCAAAGCGACAGAAAACTACCGGCTCTACCAGCACCAATTTCGCACATGACCCTAACTACACCCGAGGCCCGAACCCCCCTCAAAGAGGCTATACTCATCCACCCATAGCGCACCCCGGATACCAGCAGATACCAATGGCGGGCCCGGGCCCCTATGGTCCACCAACACCAATGTCGGCCGGGCCCCATGGACCCAGTCCATGGCCATATGAACACTCACCCGTGCAGTATAACCAACCGTTTGGCCCACATGGATTACCAACCCCAATGAGTGCCTATGGATCGCAGTTCCCGAGCCCTTCAACCCAAGCTTCCGTCCCACCCCAGCATGCTTATTTTCCTCCTCAATATTCGCCCCAGTATGGGGAGCCAGAGTATCATCATCGTCAAAATTCATTTGACCCCCATCATCAAGCGCCATCCCATGGGGGTAATAATCGACAACCTCGAAAGAAATGGCGTCATTCGGAACACGTGCCCGCTATTGCACCTCCGGTTGAGCCTTGGATGGAAGAGTTGCAGTCTCTTGACATACCTGATAGCGGCCCGAGCCCAAGTGAAATCGGTATGTTTCATAACAAATAACTCCTCTACCGTTGTAGCATTTTTGCTAACAATATATAGTTTGGAGGCCAGCTAACCAAGTTTCCCGCCCACTTTCATCAATCCTGGATGAGCGCGACGAAATCGGGATGCTTCCCCCATTCGTGTCACTCCCTCCTGGCATGTCTGTGTCTAAATACATTCTGGATAAAGGGCCTGAGGAGTTTGTTTCCAACATCAAAAACACTGAAGATTGGCCATTCATGATGGCAGATCCTATATTCCTTGAGATCGTAACCGAATGTCAGTTAATACCAGTCGTTGAGCTCATTGCACGGCGAAAAGAGATCTTCGAAACGCATCGTATTGAGCCCCCTACTCTGGCCGAGGAGGTTGATGATGTTGAGGACGATGAAAATCCAGAGGAAGAGGCTCCCGAACAGGAAGGCTCTGTTATTGGCTCCGACCAGGATCATGACCGAATGAGCGAAAGGCATTCCAGCCAATATTCTCCCGCCCCTTCTGGTGGTTCGGCGGATCATTATAGAGATGATATCTCTCATCCTGGATCCGGGGATGATGATGACAGATACTCACATAGAAAAAGTGCATCCCCAGAACCGATGGAATATCCAGTCTCTCCCAGTACGAAGACAGATTACAACGACCACGATTATCACGATCATCAAAACTCGAACCATCCCTATTCGTAAGTCTCCTCATTCTAACCATATTTCATCGCTAAAAGATCAACAGCAAAAGATCTGGCAACAATCATTCGGGCCCGAATAAGTGGCGGAAACACCCAAATGGACGCGATCAGGATCGCGATCACAAACCCCAAGCAGACGGTCCTACCCACCGACCTAATAGTCAGGGCCAGCGCGGTAACAAACGTGGCGGGTTCGATCGTCGAGGTCGCGGCTCTCATTTTGGCAATAATAACACTCGAGCGAATGCGAAGCCTAAACAACAATATAACGGACCGCCCAAGTCCAAGTCCAAAAAGGGACCGAATCAGCGTGGAAACCCCTCTAATAGAGGCAACTCGGGGAGCCAAAACCACCCAAATCGAAGCAGCCAATTCGGCATGGACGGCGCTGCTGAACCTAATCTTAATGACAATAATTTCCAAGACCATCAACATTTTCAAGGTCAACCCGATTTTCAGCAGCTCAATCCTTACGAGAGCCATCAATCTCATGGTGAAGATGACGCTGCGCGGAACAACCGCAAGAGGAGTAGGCGGGATCACTCGCCTGACAGGTCCGATGATGGACCTCGACGACAGGAGGATGATATCACTCCGAAAATAAAGCGGCGGCAGCCCCATGTCGCGGAAGCCTACAGGTGCGCCCTTAAGTAATTAACCCTCTTTCACCTTACTAATAATTTTCTAGCCGACGATGGTAAATGCCACACCTACTACAAATGTCGATTGGCTGGCATTCCGATGCCCTATTTCTCACTTGATAACCCATACCCTTATATAATACGCTATTATTTTCTTTCCTCCGAGCCAACGGCCATTTGATCTACATTCTAGCTATTTAACTTTTTGAATGTTTTGCATGGACTACTTTCCTTGTGGTGTCCAAAGCTTCTTTTGGATTGTTATTTTTAATTCTGCATCCCTGATATACTTTTTTGGATACCGCTAGGGAATATTTTTTGATCCCCTGATGTGCAGGTTTCCGTTGTTGTACCCACATGCAGGGCTTTTGGTACCAGACACGGGGTTGCTTTCAGTCACTATTAAACCTTTTTATTCTTACTTCTTTGTCCATGTTTGTTTCAAATCCTTTGGCCCAGCCAAGTTTTGGGTTGGTCACATATTCATTCTTGGATCTCACCCCGGGAATTCCGTATTCTACCCCACTGGAAGGTACCATTGGATACTTTCATTGATTGGGCGGCTAAGTAAATATACATACAAGGTGAACCACTGTGTGTAAACCGATAATATTCTCGCCCGGGATTTTCCCTCCCTCTTTTGGGACTCACGCTTAAGGGATCTTATTTGGTCCGAGTAACTTTCCCAAAGGCAAAATCCCACTCCTCGATTTGTGCAGGAGATCTAATCCACGGAAAAGAAATACCAGTAGTTTTTGCCCGTTTCAGGATTCCCGGAGCGATGTTGCTTTCCCCCAACAGTAACGGGGGAACTTTACGTGTACTATGATATATCCACCCGTACCCGAGCATTATGGGAGGATCCTAACATGGACATATGTTCATGGTGAATGAAATGCCACAGATATGGTTCAGTGTGCATTACATATGGCACTTCACCTTCACTCATCATGAGACGAACCCATGGAAACTACCTATGGCCTTGGAAACCAGACACCCTATATCAGAGACGGATTACTCAACGCCGGGCTTTGCTTTCCTACATAGCACCTACAAAAAGGGAGAAAAAGACATCCTGGGAGGAAATATACCCCTGATCAACACTGCCGGTTTCAGTTTTACTCCTGCCGTGAACTTTTTTTTTTCTTTTTGAAATGCAACAACGGCCCCTTGCTAATCCCGTGGACAATACGGGATGAACTAGGCCGCTGGCTGTGTCTTATGTGTTACTCTTGTGAGGAGGATAGCACAATACATCGGCGGTAGCTGGCATCCCATGGATGATGCCATGCTGGTTGGATGGGATAGATTCGTGTTGGGTTGGGTTGTTACTGCTACTTGATTACAGTTTGCAGGAATGTATGTACAGTACACGTACTAGCTAGAGATAGATGTGATAATGAATGATGCCAAACCCAACTTGGACAAAGAATAATACCAGGTAAACAGGAGAAATTAAAAAAAATGATAACTGACACCCCACCACCACCAACCAACGACTTTAACTCTTCTGCATGAAGAGAAGAAAAAGAAAAAGAAAAAAAGAAACGGTTGAAAAGGTCGTACTGGGAATCGAACCCAGGTCTCCAGAATCAGAATCTGGCGTGCTAACCGCTACACTATACAACCATGCTTTGGTGATGGTCTGGGTGGGGACTTGAGATTATTAGGGTTTGGGGCTTCCTTGGTACGTCATAAACAGTGTTGCTTCACACTGTGAATGGAGATGGCTAGGTGGTTTGGTTTTTAATGCCTAGGTGCCGTATTTTATTGTTTATGGCTGGGTATGTTGTCATTTGTGAAATGTATGTGGGTAGATTTTGTATTGGTGCTGTGTCGTTTTGGGTACCCGGCTCTCTAGATGGCAAATATATATTTCTTGCCTGCCCACTAAGGATAGAACGACATTACCGATATTCCAGGGGGAAAATGCAACTATATATACCAGTGATACCCATGACCCATCTAGATATAAACATAACATGGTCAAAATATCGTTAAAAAAACTCAAATAAAGCCAGACATGCAACATCCAACAAGGCTGGCCAGCACATCAAGTCATCAAGCCCGCCTTTTCGTTCGTGTCTGCTTCGTCGTCATCTTCCTCATATTCGTCCGCTGACTCTTCCTCCTCCTCTTCCTCTTCTTCATCATCACCACTTTCCTCTTCTTCCGTCTCCTCCTCTTCCGAACTCCCTTCCTCATCTGTCTCTGTCTCCGTCTCCTCCTCCGCCAGCCAATCATCCAAAGTCTTCTTCCCATTGCCCACAACACCACCATTCTGCCTCGGTCTTCCCGTATCAACTCCATGCTCCTTCAACGCCTGATCAAGCCTTTCGCCAGCTGTCAGTCCCCCTTTCTCACTAAACACAGCCTTGCCACCATCGTCGCGCAAATTCGGATCAGGTTCCTTGCCGGCCTCCACCCAATCGGGAAGCGGTTCATAACCGCGAAGGCCATGGATGCCAGCTTCGGGCCCGATGACCAAGGTGGATGAGCCAAGGAGGAGGTCCTTGCGGGTCTCAGAAGGCGAGGGTGTGAATGGAACGGGTTTGGGGGCTAAGAGGAGGAGGCTGGCGAGTTGAGTGGAGCTGGGGACTGCGAGGAGGGACTTGTATAGGCGGGCTCGGTCTCGAAGGTCGTAGGAAGTGTCGTAGCGGGCTAGGAGGAGGATGTATTGCCATAAGGTGGCAATAGGGTCCTCTTCCTGGGGTTGCGGGCTTGGGAGTTCTTGGTTTTCCTCGTGATTTTCCTCATGGGTTTGGCCGTCGCTGTAGACCGCTGTTTCTGCGGATTCGGATGTTTGTAACAAGTGATGGAGGTACACCTTCGCGCCTAGTAGGACAATTTGTTGCTTTGCCGGTTCGGATTCGTCTGCAAATCCCTTTGCGAGGATCCGGAGGACATCAGGGGCAATGTTGTTGCCGATATCGACCCCAGCAAACTCTCCGACTAGCCATATTATGCTGGCTCTAGCATCAGGGCTGGTTGTTGTGTCTAGATGCTTGGCTAACATGACAACGGTCTTCTTGTGTGATGCTGGGTCTTGCTGAATAAGATGTCTGATAACTGTCAAAGCTTCCGATACTAGGTTGTCGTCCGCGCTAGATATTTGACTGAGAAGAACCCGAAGACACCGCGCTGATGTTGCGGTATCACTCTGTGCACATCTGCCTATTGCCCGGACACTCTCTCGGACCAGGTCGGGCTGCGACTCACTAGAAAAATGCTCTAATTCACTTAGGATAATGCCCTTAAGGTGCATTCCACAGTGTGGGAAAAGAATAGTCAGGATCTCCAATTTCAATCTCCATATATGAGGGACGTCGGACGAGCGTATGAGGAAATGGGATGTGTATCTGAGGAAGGGCTTCGGGTCAATAAGAGCCACACATATAATATTATATAATGCAACGTGTTGGATATCCTGCGGACTGCGTAGCAAAGCCACCAAGGGACCAATAGCGGTTTCCAGGTGTGATGGAGTCCCGAGATAAAGGAAGAGGCGTACGACGCTCACAATGACGGCCGCGTTACGGCTCTGGAGCAAAGGTTTGCACGCTTTGAGCAGAAGATCAAGATCGGGGTCTACGACCTGAACTTCCTCACCGTACTCTTCCTCTTGTGCATTGCTTTCGTCATCGTAAAACCCCTTGGAGTTTGTAATCTTAACCCTCTCTGTCCTTCTGGGAAAGCATTTCCTAGCGTATATCGCCATCAGTCGTAAAGTGGCAAGTTGACCCCACTCATCCATATCCACCAGTTTCTTAACAAGACTCCGATAGTGTTTGTGTATCAAGTCGATGCGGTCAGGGCAAACTTCAAGAAACGTGGACACTGCGGGCCCCACGACAAAATACTGACTGTCACCCAAGAGCGTCGACAGATAGTCCAATAACTGTGGTAGCGTAGACGGATCGAGGTTATAGCACTTGGAAATGGCCAGAGCCGCGGCTTTGCGAACGTGCGGGCTCATATCTCCACATCCGCGCTTTATCGCCAACGAAACGATCTGACTTATTACTGGAACCCTGATTCCGGACATTGTCCGCAAAGCCATGGCGCGCACTTGGGGGTTTTGGTCAGTCAGGGACTTCTGGATGGCATTGATAGAGAGGAGAGCAAGGTCCGGTTCGGATTCCGCATGGTGGAGCAGGTATATATAGACCAGCTTCTTGACTTCGATATTCGGGTTCGCAACGTTCTTGACGACGGAGGAGAAGTACGGGAGGCAGGGCTCGGACCTGTACATCGCCTGGAGATACAGTCAGTATTCCGTCATATCTTCGGGTGCATCTAAAGTTCCTCGCATACCGACAAGACCTTCCGCAACCCGTCCAGGATATCCCGATCACTCCTGCTGTCGAGGAGCTTCTTGATCTGCGAGAACGAGGCATGTCGATGCGCAGAGTTTGATTTGAAGGCGCCCCTGGAGTGGCTGGCACTCTGCGCCGCTTCTATTGTGAGCTCCCGAGCTAGAAATAGAATGTCAGACACGGATGATTTGTTGGTGGGGGGGATAACAGAAGGCGGGAGATACCAGTTTCCAGCATGGAGGAGATGCGTGAGATTGTCTCCATCTCTGACCTCCAAGGCCAGCCGCGCCCGCAGCTGGTTGCTATATAGCAGGGGTGGTCATGAAACGGAGCGAGGCGGTGGGAGCGAACTGCTGGTGGGATGGTGGTTGATGACGGAGGTCGCCAGCAAATGATCTGGCTCAGGGATCTGGAAGCTTTGGTGGCGGTTGGCAGCAGCCGGCGCACAGACCACCCGCGGCATCTAAATACTGCGACATCAGCCTCCAACCTCTGTCAACACCACCAGCGTCTGATGTCGAGGGCCGCGGACGGACAGAGACAGCTGCAGCTATGATATCCGCCATCTCCCATAGACAGCCGCCATGCAGAACATATTCCGCTGTCTAATTGCCTGAAAAGCCATTAACTGCGAGGCCTGGTCGATATGGTCTTCAACCCAAACGCAACCGTCCAACCCTTGGACACCGCAGCGGACTTCGTGGAATATCTACTTAATGGAGATGCATCTGCAATTACGCTGGTAGTATGCTCTACCAGAGAAGCCTTCCTCCAACAATTCTGTGCTTCAATCGCGCGTGCTTCCCTACACGAAGACCCAGATACGCCACCACAGCTCTCCCAGGATCGCACCGACAACGACAGAAATATATTGCTCAACCCTCAACTTTACAACACGATCCGGTTGATATCCCAGTCAAAAAGGGTTACGCTGGCCTTTTGCCCTACTCTTGATCATTTTCGTGCCTATATATCTGTTTTCCACAGGCCAATCCCTCCGCTACAAGGGGATTCTAGATATCCGGGAAGACAGGTCCTGGCAATCCTGGATCTTGTCGCTCTCCATTATCAGGCCCGAGAGTTTTCCGCACAGGGGATCGCAAAAACTCTTGCCCTCGCCGTGGAGGTTTCCGCAAGGGAAAGAGTTCACTTGACGATATGCGAATGCAACGATGCCAATCGCCAAGACGATACTAGAAGCAGCATGTGGGATAGGGATATCTCCTTGCTCAGTGACCAGAGGCGGGTGATAGAGGAAGGCTCCCAATCAAGAACCTTCAAGGCGAAGCAGATTGCCAAAAGATGGTTTAACTTTGTTTGAAAGAAATTATATACGGAGGAAGAATATATATATAAACCGTGTGAAAATTGCAAGCTGTCCCGCTGTTTATGCAAGGCTCCATCATACATCCAGAGGAAAACACCAAATCGACCAGACCATTAGGGTATCCCAAAATACAAGCCAAACGAACTCCCGTATCATCATGCATACTCGACCTCATTCAGAGACATTTTTCCATCTCTGTGATGTACAACTTGATATGCGACTCCATCTTCAAATATTCGTCGTGGGCGCTGTGGATTTCGTTTTCGATATTCTCTTTCAGGTCGACCATCTGCGCCGAAGTTAGCAAAACCTTCTACGATATGGGATGGAGAATAATTTCCGAGGAGTTGCTTGGTATGTACCTTTTTCTCCGTCTGCTCGATTCGGATCTTTCTCCGTTCCATGTCTCGCTGCTTTTCGGCGCGTTCTTCTCGCAGCTGTTTCTGTATCTCCCTCAACTCCTCCATCCGAGCCTGTGCCAACTCTGCTTTTTCCCGGCTGCTTTTCCTTAGGGCTTCGGTTCGTTCGTGCCATCGAGCTAATTGTCGCTGTAGTCGTTCCTCTAATAGACCTACTTCTCTCACAGTATTCCCCCGCTCCGCAAGAGCATCCCTGTTCCTGATAGCGCGGGCATCTTCCTCCTCCTCCTTTTGCAACTCTGTGGCTATATCTTCCAAAACCTTGATACAGCTTTGAATGTCGTTGGTGACGACGTTGAACGTATCCATTGATGTCTGCAACGCGCGCATCCTCCTTTCCATATTGTCAATCTGGGTCTTATCTCTTGTTAGGTTATCCGATAAGTCCGCTAGTGAAGACTGCAGCGTTGCTGGGCTTTGTAATACATATGGCCGCAGCTTCTCGCTTTCCTGCCGACTTTTCAATATCTTTTCTGTCATTTCTTCGAGGAAAGCTTGCTTTCGGGCTTTCTCTGCTTTAACTCGTTCAAGCGATTCGGCGATACGTTCTTGACTCCTCCTCAACTC